AATGTTCAAAAAATCCCAACGTAACTTTGTTCTAAACAAGTTTAATAATAGATTTATGTTAAAATAATCGAAAAAAGAAAAGTGATTCGCTCTAGACATCTAAAAACACACAAGTAATTCTTTACTATTGAAATATATATTAAAAGTGATAAATAATCTGATTATTATTCTGATCATTAGTCTGATCACTAAATTCAAAAAAATCTTCAATAATTAATCTTTATATGATATCACACATAGTTTTGATTTACATAGTTGACCAAGCACCCCACAGTGCCATGGTATGCCTGTGTCCATAGGCACAAAAGTGCCGTACTATTATGGGCTCAGGTCAGGCACTAGATGCCCGTGTCTTAAAAAAGTACCGGACACTTGTGTGCCAGACATGCCAAAAAGTGAAACTACCCGGGTTTTTTTGAATTTTTGTTTTTCCTAACCTATTTAAAATTTCCCAACTTGCTGTTGGACTTGAGTGGAAATATTGTAAGGTTAGTGCACATAAGTGCCTAGCACAAAGCGCCTATGGGCAAAGTGCTTGACACAATTCGTTGGGCATGAGGCTGCAGAACCTTGGCAGCACTCGTATGATGACGATATGACATAACGATAACTTAAGTTTTATCGAGTCACATGAATATTGAATATTTAAGGTATAGCGTAATATTCATATATACTTAAATATACTGTAAATATAATTGTTTTATATTATCAGTTTATATAATTTATTTTATAACTGTCTACTACCATGCATATTAGTACAAATAAACTACTGTTACAACTAGTGTTGGCATTTTGGTACTCTATTGGAAAATTTTCTACTTCAATCTATTGCTCATTGAAAATTCTTAATATTAAATCTTAATAATTTATTATAAATATGTATTTACGTAGCATTTGATTTAATAAATTTTATGTTTAAAATGCAAGAATATATATATATATATATATAAATGCTCCATTATTCGATTCAGCGCAGAAAATACTCGATTTGCCAACACTGGTCACAGTTATATAATTCATAGTTTACCTTTATTATATTTACCATTCACTTGTTCACAAATGCTTCTCATATTTTTTAATGCCTTGATAAAACTCTCCTTTAATGCTTTAGAATCAGTCTCTGATGACGAAAATTTTGATTCTATACTAAATGTTCTATCTCGATGACTTTGGCTAAACATGATTTAGTGAACGAAGCACCATAGTTCTGAGTAAAGCAAATAAATCAAGTTTATATATTAAAAGTAGCCCACGGCTTTCTCCGAGAGGAAATTCAAGGAAAAAAAAGTAACAAGACACAAGATCAGGTGCAACGTGATTAGTTGATTTTGAGAGTCGCTTTTTTTTTAAGTCGACTCCAACAATCACATGATAGTTGAAACTGATATGGAAAGAGCAGATTTATGTGCATATCGTACATCTCGTACACCTACATTGCATTAGCATTAGTCATATAATTGATAACTTAAATCTCATCAATCATATGGTGCTGCATGGTTACGGTACGATTTCCCGAAAATGACACTTACTCGACATCACGCACGTGATAATTTGCTAAAAATATATACCTACAGTTAATAAAATGCTAATCCTAACCCTATGTGATGTCGGGGAAATAGTATTCGGGAAAATTGGTTTCGGGAAAGTGAGAATCAATGGTGCTGCATTATGACATCATTCATTGTATTATGAAAGATGCTCTGATATCCAATAAAAATTTTATTAAAGACGATCTTGCTTTATTAGAAGACATTGCACCGAGGCACAGGGGCACCAAAAAATAGGCATGCCTAAGTCATATGGGATTACAGCGAATTGAAGGTAACTAATTACGGCCGATTGTAGCGAAGTTGACAACTTTTATCGTGACGTATTCCAGGTTGAATTCTCCAGCATCACTAGTGACCAGACCAGACCAGTCTGGTACAGGCCCGATTTTAAAAACTAATTCCTAACCCTAACTCAAACCTTTACAGGTGTTTACATAAATTCTGGGACAATAAAATTTTATGATGATCGGCCGAATTCGATAAGTTATTGATTTCGGTACTTGTCGATAAATTGGATAATACTGTATATCTGATATCTATATCTATATCTATATAATCACTATAGATCATTATCATTACTATTCTATTGGTTGTCACATAGCACGTCTTGTTAGTATTTGTTGACACGTTTGTTTGTTTTTCTGTTTTTCATGTATTTGTATTACATGAATGGATCTGCGCTTCAGGGTAAGACCAAATCCCCCAGTTTTTTGAAAAAAAGTTTTTCGTAGTAGTTTTCAACAGT